TAATGGTTCCTTAATATATTTTTACTACATTGCATTTGAATATGGAGAAGCAACTATCTGGAAGTATTTTACATAAAAAATTTACTAAGTATAGCCTTGTATGTAGATGCAGTTAAAGAAAATACATTAAAAGGCACGATTTTTTAATTCAAAAAACTTTAAATATTTCAAAAACGGCGACACTTTTAGCTGAAAAATTGTTGCTTATCAGGGAGCTCACCGCCCCACCTGCCTTCTCCTCAAGTTTGGCAGGTTACTTCTGGGACACCCTGTATACATACATATATACATATGTATGTATACTGCAGGTTCCCAACAAGCATTTCAGTAAATGTTTTTAAAAATAACTTAAAGTAAGTTTGCTATAATAAGCGTTAGATAAGCATTTTTAATATTAAGCTTACTAAAAGTTTTTTCAACTAAACCTTTAATAAGTTTTGAGAGCGAATGTTTATAAATAACTTAAACTTATAAATGAAATGCAAATGCCAACGACATGAAGTAAATATAACATTTTTTCAATCGTAAGTGACGTGTTTACGTTTTTTAATATATATTATTAAAAGAAAAAATTAAATAAAACCGATGCGGTAAAAAAATCCAATCCAGGACCCGCTGCGCTAATCGGTGGAGCATTCGAGTCTTCAAATGATGAGTTCTCCTTATCCTTTCTTAGTTTAACATTCTATTAAAAATGTATTAAATTTTTTTCAGAAAAGTTCATCAATGAGAATGGCAGCGATGAAGCGGAATATATAGCTGCATCGTTTTTCCAATTTGCCAATAACCGCAAAGCACGCAACAAGATGTAATAATTAACTTTTTTATGGTTAATTTTTGTGTGTTATCGTGAATTTGTATGCTAAAATGTCTATTCCCTATTTATATTTTCGCGACTGTAGATGAGTCCGCCGAAAATTCGCATTTCTTTTAGTTTCTAGATGTTAAGCAATCTATGTATGAGTTTTTAAAGAAATATCTTTAAATAAAGGGTTATAAAAATGTTTATGAAAAGCTCTCTTTTGAAAATTTTTAGTAAGTTTATATTCATACGCTTATAAACAACTTTTTTTGAACCTTTATTATAAGTTTACACGTTTACGCTTATAAAATGCTTTCTTTTGAACATTTATTACAAATTTATATTTCTACGCTTATAACCAATGTTCCTTTTCGATTATATTACGCTTACTTTCAAGCGTTTTACAAACAAAAAATCAACGTTTTGTAAGCTTAATGTTTATAATTGAAAACTTAAAAAAAAACTTTCTTTAAGTTTATTTTGCTTGTTGGGTTGCTTTAATTTTGAACTACTACTAAATTGAAGTAACAAAAAATAAATTGTTAAAACTTGCCAATATTTTTGACCCAGGGTGTAATAATATATTAAAATTTTTGTTTGTATTTTATGACTGAATGTTTTCCTTATTTTTCTTTTTAATTGATATTTAAGTATTTATGTATATTTAAAAAACTAAGAAAAAAACCAACTAAAGTAAATTCAAAGATTCAATTGTTTGCTCAACTTATACCTGTCTGTGTTGTCTGGAACTGTGGACAACTTGCTAAATGATGATCAGTTGACTGGCGTTTTAAGCAATTCGATGATGATTTGCTTTGTGCAGTTACGAATGAGTTTGGTGCTTGCTTATGATGTGCTCCTTTCATATTGCGGTTTTATGTTGCTTTCGAGAATTTGGCTATGCCGACTTAAAGTGTCGTAACTGAGTTCCCAAGATGGTAATTTTTCGAAGCCTTTCTTTCAGTCATAAATTAGTTTTGACTCTACATGTACTACTTTGATAAAACTAATTGAAAAATAATCGCGTTCATAACGTTTGCTTTGGAACCCAAAGACAACAACGAACCTCGGAAAGCAGAAACTGTATCTAGAATTATGCGGAGACTTGATGGATCCGGCTTTGGTATGGTGTGAATGTTGAACAAGCTAGTTATGTGTTCTAAAAATATGAATACCCATTTGTCATAGCGCTCCCCAACTTGTTTGAGTGCCTTTGAGAAGTTTTCCTCTGACACTTGGAACGGTTCGACGACGTTCAATGCATTGCCTAACAAAGAACTCAATAAATAGTTAAATTTGTCAATAACTGGTTTAGATTTATCCTCATGAACCAGTTTTCGAAACGATGTAATTAATTTATTATATTCACCGTATTTGCCATCAAACTTAGGCATCCTTAAAGACGGTAGACGACTTTGGTGCAAGATATTGGAGCAATTTTTTCAAATTAACTGCACTGGAGTCAGCAGGCTTATCTTTCCTATACGCCTTGCTATCATTGCCTTTGCAGCGACGAATAAGCCTTCAATTTCGGCTCGACGCTCGTATTCTGGATCGATTTTTTCGATCTTTGTTTGCAATTGGCAAACTTGTTGAAAATATGCCTCCAAAATTTCCTCTCGGCATTCAACGACTGCAAGATCACCCTGCTTATCTTGTTCCACTTTGGCGGCGATGTTTTTCAAATTTCTTTCTATTGTGGCGCGTTGCTGGCGTAACCCCGATAACTGCTCCTCCTGGCTCTCTGATTATGTCTTGCTCATTATTAAATGTAGCTAGCGATGATGAATGTTCTGGTTTTGTAATGAAAATGTTGCTTCAGCGATGATCGTTTTTTTTTTGTTTTTTAGTGGTGAGGTCTTCGATGGAGCTACCTCGAAATGGTGCAATAATGAGTAGGTAATAGTTTGAATACCATAGGTCAAAGTGTAACGAAAAAATGCACTATAATGATTTAAAGAATTCAGGACTTAGCCATTTGCCAGGTAGAAGTCCTGTCTCGGTCGCAAATGATTGAACTCAAATTAATGAGCCTAGTAGAAGAAAACTCAACTGCTAATTTTCACTGATTTATTTCGATAAGACCTTTTTACATTGCGGTAACAACTTATAAAGCAAAAACTTATTCGAAAGAACGAGTTATCGTAACACCGAAAGATGGAATGCATGGATATGCATAACCCTATATTTATGAATGTATGTAAATATGTACATATATAACTAAGTGAAGCACGATTTGCAATGCTGTCCCATACGAAAACCGCTTTTTACCGTGCGTTCTGTGCACCGTTGAAGGTCCTTGCAAAACTCAGAGGATAACCCTAATTATTTAATGGAGAAAATTATTAAATACATTTTGAAAGTCAAAAACTGTTTTTTTTTTAATACGTTGGTACCAGAAAAATACGAAACACGATTTCTGTCAGATAGCTAACATGGCGGCTAAGAATAAGAAGTGAAAACACCTTTATAAAGTCATTGCATCATGTTTTTCTCACAAAAAACACAAATTCATACAGCGACGGGCAAAACTGCACCATGGAGTAACACTTTTTACTTCAGCCATCGCTATATTTCCAAGTTCTAACGACTTTCATACTTTTGTTTTATATTCTTATTGGTACACCTTTACTTCCTCTCTCATAATGATTTGAAGTCAATCCAACAACAATAATAAAACCAGCAGACAAAAATGTAATTTGACGCAAATGTTGCAGTTTTGCACTCATATATTTTTATGAACTTTACACTGTTAACACAATGTTCAGTATCCTTTTGCTTTTTTTAGTTCCTGGATGTGATTTGGCATACCTTAATTGTATCTCTGTAAAAATTCTGAAGATATATCCTCCCATATATCCTTAGTTTGCTTTTACAGCTCATGTACTCCATTGGACAGACTTGGATACTTAGTAAGCTGTGCTTTTGTTGTTTTCGCAAATTCTCAATGAGATCCATGTCCGCGGATTGTGGAGGTCATTTTAGATTAGCAAATTTTTGCTTTTGCATCCAGTCTTTGCGAATATGTGCAGTGTATTTTGTGTGATTTTTCAGCAGAAACTCTCATTTTTTCGACTACATCTTGCAAATTTTGTTGAAATATGAACAGATACTGTTCCTTACGCATAATGTGTACTAACATACCAAGACAATTTGTGAAATACAACCCCAAACTATTATTGAGCGTCCACTGTTATTCACAGTTTGACTTACATGCTGCGCATGGGCTTAATTTGGGTCTTTGATCCAATACCATGCCCGGCCATCTGATTGAAAGCGATTATTTTAATCTTGTCAGACCAAATAACCTTGAATTTAGGCTTAAACATGTGTTTTTTATTGCATACTGAAAGGCCTAACATATCCCAATAGGCAACGGTCCGGTTTTCGTGCGATGCAACAAAATGCTGCCACAGTCGCACATATATTTTGATCAATTTTGCTTTTTTCTTCTTTTATGATGCCTTTGCGCTCAATTTGGCAATTCTTCGCCTCGCTGTCTACTGATTTGCATTAAAGTTGAATACCTTAATCACTTCTGTAATAGGGGCTGCATCGCTACTTGCTGCTAAGTTCACAAGATATCGTACCGTAAAATTTTTTGACAGACTTCCTTTGTCCTTGGGAACACTTTAGGCTATAGTTTTTCTCAGCCTTAACATTTTCAATTAGCAAACTCCACAATTTTTTGCCACTTTTCCTGCGGTCTCGCCTTTCCGCAGTAAATCTATTATTTACATTTATGATTCCTGATTAACCGTATTATTAACTGGTGATCACTTCTTCAATAACTTACAATACAGAAAAAAGTCATCTGACATCCAACTAAGTAAAATATAACTATAACTATAATTCAAAACTGAGAGTGAGTGCAAAACTGTAACATTTGCCTTAATTTATATTTTTGTCGGCTGGTTTTTTATTGTTGTTGTATTAACTTCAAATCGTTATGAGAGAGGGAGTAGGGGTGTACCAACAAGAATATACAACAAAAGGAAGACAGTCGTTATAACTTGGAAATATAGAGGTGGCTTAAACAAAAAGTGTTACACCATGTTACAGTTTTGCTCGTCACTCTATATGGCAAAGTAATTCACACTATCACAGATAGCACCGCATTTAATTAAACCCGAATTGTATTTGAATTGCCGTTTTTTTTAGTATATTAGTTGTCCATTTAATAAATCTTTAATTCCAGAAATTAACGAGCTTTCTTACGGAATACCGCATATCTACCGGAGATGTGAACAATTTAAAAATACAATATCGTAATGATGCAGGAGCAGATATTTTAACTATTGGGAAGAAAGAATTTATTTACCTAAATCATCAAAACGAGTTTAGAGAAAAATGGGTATGTAAAACTTTATTAATAACTGATTTAAAACTAATAAAAACATTACAATAGTGTTATTGAGCTTTATACCACGCTTTGTTTGTTATAACATGTCCCCACCAAAAAGTTAACCATCTCAAATCGAACTTAACCACATCACAATTGCTGTCCACACTGCGGTTTGAGGTTTATAAAGCAGTACAAATGTAGAGAAGAGTGTTCGGACCTCCAAAACTCGATTCAGGACTAAAAAGCTGAGCAAAAACAAATTTTCCATACCAGATTGAATTTTTTCTTTTCTTTTTTGACATTAATTGTTTGACTTAAATATTTTCTATTCATGGAAAAATAAGAACGCGAGGCAATGTAAGGATAATATGTTAAATATTTAGGTAATATTTAGCATTTTCTATAAAGTAGAACGTTTCTAACACTTATTTTTTTAAAGAGCAACAGGATCTAAACCTTTTCTACTTTATATAAATTTCATTCTACATATATTTTTTAACAACTTAAGTAAAGTTCTGCATCCGTCAATTTCTACAGCCATACATTAAAAAATAACGAAGTTACTTTATAGACGCATTGCTATGAAAGAGTTACTTTTTAACAGTGAGATTTGGCTAACTTTCAATTTTTTTACTGAAACCGGTGGTGAACACTCAAAAAACGGCCCCAAGAGGGGCATAATGAATGGAAAAAAATGGAATAGATTTGAAGTCAAGCGGAGTAGAGGAGTAGATTTCAAATTTTTTCAAAAACCGGAGTAAATCTAATCTGACCTTAGTTAGGTCCAAACACTAGTAAGGAACGAATTTTTACGCTAATGACCCACAGATCGCGGGAAAACACAGGGTTGTATCAGACTTTCGACGTGGTTTCGAGTTGGTTAGCTTTTAACCATCTCAGTGAGTTAAGTGGTGGTTAAGTGCTGTCATTTTTATATGGCGAAACTACGCTAAATGAAGTGGGTTATCGGGATAACCAACTCAACTGCCATAACTACGTGGTTAGCTCCGGTGGGGACATGGTATTAGGAAAGGAAGAAAAGGTAGAAGTTATAGCTGCTATTTTGGAGGTCACCACATCTCCTCGTCAGACTTCTTTTTCTAGACTTCAGCAGGGTCCCGAACCCTCATCATTTAATAGAATTAAAAACTTTTCATAGCCGTTCATTGCCGTTTTTATAAATTTATATTATAAGAGTGTTTTTATAAAGATGGACAAAGACACGCCAAGCTAGTAACTATTTTACGCCAATTTTTTGATAGTCCTTCTGCTTGTTTTGAGAGCAAACAAATTCTACTATTACAATTATCATAACTACTGTACGAGAACAAAGCATTTCTGTGGACGTCACGCAAATAGCTGATTCTATCAAAGTCGCCAAGGAAAATAGCGGTACTGCTGAAGGCGCCACCTTGTGAATGTGCGGCGTGCACACTTGTCTATCCAATTCGCTATCTCCAGGTCGTCAAACGAGAAACCAAATCGATCACGTTGTGATAAATGGAAGGCACGCTTCCAGTGTTTTAGACGTACGTATACTCCTTATTGCAGCCAAGATACGCATCCGCCTCTGTGCAGCAAAAAACAAAGCAAGGAAAGCTCAACGTCGAAAAGCTGCAATCACAACAGACGGGCAATGCATTCGCCACTAGACTCTCATACCTACTCACAGATAGAACCCTTCAACAAGCCGAAACACGCGCACAATGGAACCACATTTTCGTCTCATTATGTATTTACGCCGATGAAATAGTCGAATTTCAACCAGACCGAAAAACAACTGGTGCTATGAGGACTGTCAAGAAACTGAAGAGGAAAAAGATGCCGCCCCCAGGGTGACCCATAGAACCCATAAAGAAAATTTGAAGCGAATCGGAGACATGACATATTTTTTTTTACGAAATCCGTCCGACTTAAAAAAGTATGGCTCATATGTGTTTATTTCCACACTCCGTGAACGCAGGTGCACACCTTCTTCGCTCAAATAAGTGATCATTAAAGCGCAAACAACACTAAGGTACACGGACTTATGTCGCGCTCGACCGATAATTTTTCCTTTCCTGTCAGTGAGCCTATCTTTCTCCCTCTTTAATGCAGTGCTCTCAAATCATATTCGTAGAAGTTTTGTCACAGCGCACGGCACACTCCTGCGTCCAGAAATAGTATACAAATTACAGAAACTATTCTCCGAGTTCTTAAAAATTAGCTTAAAGGGTTGCGAAAAAGTTATATTTTTTCTGCCTTTGTCGATTTAAGGCGGCACTTGGGTAACCCAATATATTTATTGATATTATATGTGTCACTCCCAAAAAAAACTGTATTTACGATCCTTATAATAAGCCACCAACAAAGCTGTTCAAGCCCTGGTCAAAGCAACATCGCAAAAAATATAGAAAAAAGGTTTTTTGTTAACAGCGGTCGTCCCTCGGCAGGCAATGGCAAACCCCCGAGTGTATTTCTGCCATGAAAAACAGCTTCTCATAAAAATACAATCGCCGTTCACTGTAGGTCCCTGCGCTTTGTGTGACAAAATCAAGGCGCACGCCACAAATTGGAGGAGAAGCTCGGCCAAAGACTAACATATGTGTAAGCGCCAATTTATTAATATTATTATTTACAAAGCTGTTTTTTATTATTGTAAGCCGTTTTGTTTTCTTTTACGAATGGTATTTCTTTGGTATATTTTACCTACTCCATATCCAAATATTTGTCCCCGCTCAGGTTATTCGATAAGTGAAATGGAAAAAAATAAACAAAGAAACGATGAAAAAAGCCGTAACTGTTTGTGAATGACCACCTTCACTTTTATTGTTTTATTCTATTTTTGCTTGAATAATTTCATCATTATGTTTTTATAATATTGCCCCTTCGAATTTTTCAGAATTTCACTTTTTTATTTTTGCCGTGATATTAACACAAGTTATTTTGCTAGCCTAAGTGCATTGCAGTTAAGAAGCGCAAACAGCTATTGATCGAATGACATAAGAAATAACTTAATAAAAGCAATTATTTTATGTTTTTATGTGAACTTAAACACTAAAAATAAGATAATTGCCAATGTCTGTTTATTGCTTCAGGAGTTTCAATGATTTCCTTGTTTTTATATTTTGGTGAAATAAGACTCTTACAACAAAAAATGCGTGTGTAACACCGTACACATGATAGAAGTGAAACTTCTTAAAAAAGGTGTGAGTACCAGGTACCTACTCACGAAATTGGATGTGTAAACATATGTTTACGGTTCGGCGAACCATTAGGCGATTGAGTTACATACATAGGTTTGGTTAGAAATCAAACAATAATTTCATTTCATCTTATTAATTTTCTGATATACATATAATTTATTTATTCATTTTCCGGTAACACAACCTTATATGAATTCGCGCTTCTAGCATCCATAGGACCGGGTTGTAACGCAAGTAATTGTATGTTTAACAAATAAATGAAAATGTTTATAATGCATTCAATAGATCCTTACGAATTCGCCATTACCAAGACACTAAGTAACGTACGCACTTTTGTTTGCAAAATGCATTTAATTAAGTTGAAAGAAGACAAATTCCTTTGTTCGGCATTTATTCTTACTCGCTTTATATGTTACAAGGCGAATTCGTATACATATTCTTATCACGAATTCATATATTCATGTGGTAGCAAGTAAATTAAAAGCATAAGTATCACATGTATGCGTAGTCCAATTCACGAAATCATTTCATCGATCTGAGTAAAAACTAAGAGCATAAACTCTATTTCGCGTTAATTGAAATCATGAAATGGTGTTCTTTCATTCAGTTTCTTATCTAACGCATGAAATGATTTTATGAATTGGCCTACGCATAATGGTAGTAAATGACAGAATGAATTACAACGAACACATCCTTTTGACATAATGCAAGCCGAAAACGTTGGTTCAAATCAATCCGCCATCAAGTTGGACGTTTTGCCCACAAACATTGCAATTTTGCGAGCAGTCTCATTGTAAAATCTCATTTTTACAATTTCATAGTTTCGGCTTACATTTATAAAATTCCACGAAAGCACGTACATATTTCGGCTGACTTATCCATTTTCGGTTATTTAGTGTATAAAATAAACGCAAATTAAATGAGTTTGTACAACATGGCCATTAATGTAGCGATAAGTTGTACAACTTGCCAGAAAATTCAAATTTTTTGATCTTTCATACAACCAAGACATAAATTCATTCAACAGGCCCACAAACGGTACAATCTAGAGCAAAACAACACCAAGATGAACCAACGGTCGCTTCGTTTATGGCTTTCTTTAAGAAACATCGGGCGAAAATTTCAACTGCTCCTGTGACATCACTTTATATAAGTTGGCCTTGCCGATGATATCACATATGTTCATCAGAATATACCAGTTAATACATATAAGGAGATAGCGAGAGCACAAAACTACTCTAGAAAATTACACGCTCAATGACAAACATGAACATGTACAACAAACACATAATTTTTGACAATCAGTACAGTTCGCATTTATATCAACGAGCAGCTTATTACATTTGTTTTCGTTTGTACTACATATGTGCATACATACATGTACACAAACATATGTACGTACGTACTAGGGATGTCAATCCCGGGATCCCGGTCGTTTTTAAGTCCCGAATATCCCGGGATTAGTCGATTTAAATCCCGGGATTGCTGGAAACAATTTTTTTGTTAGCCAATTAAATATTTATCACAAATATCCCCTCTCAAGGGCAAGCCATTTTTCAAAACTTACGAAGGTAAATACGAACAAACGAACAAAATAGAATACAAAAAATTTCTTGCTGTGAATTTTCAGAGCTATATATTTTTAGTATTCATTACAAAATTGTACTAAAAAGTACTGCGTAGTAGGAAAGTATATTGTAAATGAAATCGTATCAAATAAGTACAATTGTACCAAAAATGTCCACACTGTTCAGTATAATACTTTTTTTCTTTTTTACTTTTTTACTCTTATTTTATCTTTCAGCTTCGCTAAAAGCACTTATA